ATTCTGTACTTTCCAGGAAGGTGGACAGGTCACTAAGAGACATCTCCTTTATATTGGCAGGCGTAGGCCAAGACTCTCCGAACACACACTGTCTTATTGACGATAACTCTGGACACTCGCATAGGACATCCCTGACAGTTTCATCTTCCTTTTCACACATCCTGCATAGAGGTGTGTCCACTAGCCTCATATTGTGGAGGTGTTTCCTTAGTTGTCGGTGGCCAGTCAGAAATCCTACTGTTAAGCGTTGATTTTTCCATCTCTTTAGGGATTGCGCATGGGTGTGACGTTTGGCTAGTTCAGCAATTGTCGAAGACATCCGGCCATTCTTGGTTATTTCTTTTGTGGCGATTGAGATACCAGCCAGTTCTGTTTGGACCACGCTGGTATTTCTTCCCATTCCCCATTCAAACCTTAGGCTTAGTGATCTGGAGTACACTCCACATCCTTTTGAAGGGAGTATATTTTTAGGAGAGATCCATTTTTGGGATCTACACATTTTTGCATAGAGTTTATTTTGAAATTGATCGCTTTCTTCCTTACTACAGAAGTTTCCCTCATTTTTCGTACAGAGATGAAGAAGTAGAAAGCCAAAAACTTTCTTTCCCAAACATTTTGTTAGCTTCCTCAGTAGGCTAAACATTTTTGAAGTGAAAACTTCTTATGAGACAGTAAAACGCTTGGTGAGAACCTGAGATCAGGAGAAGACAGCAGAGATTCATTCAAATCAGCGGGAGTATACAGGATTCCATGTAACTGTGATAAAGTTTATATCAATCAGGCGAGGTACATTGGTACCTGTCTAGTCAAGCACAAGCGGAGTTGCCGATTGAGACAAATCGAGAAGCCTGCAGTCGCATTGTCCGACGGGAAACACAAGATCATTTTCGAAAATGCCGAAAGACTAGCAACATCGAATCATTATACAACAAGAGTGTATTAAGAAGCCATAAAAATACACTTTCTACTTTCTTTCTACTCGTCAGTAGAATGAACACAATTTGAAATCAATAGATAATTCAGATACTTTTTGAACAAGTATTGATTTAACTTTTTGACATGGGGAGGTAGAATATTGAATGACATAGAGTTGCTGCTTGACTTTCTCAGTCTGAATCTACTGGCCCTCAACAAATCACATCCTCTACTCTAATAATCGTGTGAATCACAATTTCTGTTTAATGTTGATCTATTTTTATGAATATCTATCAAAAGCTGATACAGATGAATATAAGGTACTGTCATTATTTTCATCGAAAGGAAATGAGGTCTACAGGAGTCTAAGAAACCAGCTCCAGATAAACCCTTACGGCTTTTTATGTAACATAAATATCCTATTTGCGTTAGTACTATTTCACTAGAGAATTGTTCCATATGAGATGTGAGAATCGACAAAACGTGTAAGCTGATAATAGCGCCTGTTGAGAGATTACATCTTTCAATTTCCGAAGAAGAAATGTGTATTTCGACAGTTTGTTCAATGTGTTCTAACCAGTTCAGATTATAATCTAGATGTATGCCTAAGAGTTTGACACTGTGTCCTTCAACCCAAGATGTGTTTGATGTAAAAATGATGTCTTGAGTTTTATTTTCGTTTAACATTAGATTATTTTTTTCGAATTACATGTCGACGTTCCTTTGAATTTGATTTATATTTATATCGCGCACCAAATTACCCTTGACTTTTCCGTATGTCGTAAGAGTAGTATCATCGGCGAAAGCAAAGAAATTATGAGGTGACATGAAGGAAAATAGATCATTTATATAGATTATGAATGAAAGTGGCCCCAGAACCGATCCTTGGGGAACTCCACATGTAACTGGTTTTAAGTCGGATACATTGTTCTGTTCTAACCAGTTCAGATTATAATCTAGATGTATGCCTAAGAGTTTGACACTGTGTCCTTCAACCCAAGAGGTGATGATGATGTGTTGAGTTTTATTTTCGTTTAACATTAGATTATTTTTTTCAAACTATATGTCGGCATTCTTTTGAATTCGATTTATATTTATATCGCGCACCAAATTACCCTTGACTTTTCCGGATATCGTAAGAGTAGTATCATCGGCGAAAGCAAAACAATTATAAGGTGACATGAAGGAAAATAGATCATTTATATAGATTATGAATGGAAGAGGCCCCAGAACCGAGCCTTGGGGAACTCCACGTGTATCTGATAACTTGTAACTAGTTCAGCTATCACTTCTGTCCGGCGCTCCGAGATGCACACGTTTTTATTAAATATATCTTCGGTATAGCATCAGTATCAACTAATTTACTCAAGGAATCAAAAGAATCAGAATTGTTTATGGCCCTCTTTACCTGGCTGATAAATTCAATTCTATTGTATGGAAGACTAACCCATTGTCAATTTATTACCACAAATATCCACTCAAACCAATATCCATCAATATCGATATCTATCGCCTATTTTCCCAAATTAAATTTCTGGTGACTGAGCATAAGTACCGATATTCTTTTGATGAAAACCGATAATATCTTCCGCACTGGAATATAATGGAGGCCATCATTAGGAAAGGTGTTTTGCGATGGATATCTTGTGACAATTGCCCAAACTATGTGATGTAATGATCCGTAGATTATGGGCAATTTGTGTAATTAAATTTCATTAAACTAATCGGTCATTGCGACGGCATGAGCGACTTTTCGTTGTGTTTATCGATTTGCATGTATACGAGGCTCTGGTGTCACGGGTCAAGTAGATGAAGTAATTGAAAATATGTTTCGTCACCTTTGCAATTAATAGCTGTTGTGATTAATGAAACACTTGCTGCATACTATTTTTTGAGAAATATTTTTAAGAAATGACTGTGAAAATTCGTGGGAGAAACAGTATTTTATGGAGAGATTACTGTTCACAGAATGCTTTTTTTAGTTTTTGTTTAGACATTTTTCAGATTTTTTTATTAAAACAACGATTGAGAAACAAATTTGAACACTTTTATAAAATTCCCCATTCAAGACTTATTCAAGACTTATCTACAATATTGCTTTCTGAAATTGTGACAATTTTCAACTTTAAGATATTGTGATATTGCTTATAATACAAATTTTTATTTGGGTTGGGTTTCAATTTCTCAGTTGAATTATTAACAATGACTAATGTTTTGTTTCTCAGTTTACGTCAAACAGTCTTTGTTGTTTTGCGTTTCCAGTAAAATGTAAATTTCTTAAGCCTTACGTCGGTGGGAAAAACATAGAAAAGGCAGAAAAATACTCGAAGGAAATGTACAGGACATTTGAATAAAATTTGCAGGACAAATCATTGCAAATGATACTCATACCAGTAATTTTCCAGAAATTTCCTCAAAAGAATGTATTCGAGGAAAGATATCGTCGCGAAATTTTTTTCGACGTCCTTCTGTTTCTGAAATTGAGTGCTTAGTCGTGTACCTTCCAAACTACAAGTTTTTCGAGATACCAACCGACAAGGTTAAGGTATTGGGGGTCGATATCTTCTACAAGGTAGAATTAAACATATAAAAGTCATTATTTAGGCTTTTAAAAGTAAACGTCGAGTGTATTTTACACCGTTACACGTGTGAAAAGATAAGAAACCGCTGTTCCGATCTACCTGTTTGTTAGAAACTATACCTACATAACAATTACCGAAGAGAACAGTTATGTGGTGACTGGTTATGATGGAATTCATTTGCTACAATTTTCAGGTCCAGAATATACATGTTTTCGAGTGCTGCCGATTTCTCTCTTTCGTTATAAACTATTGTTTCATTTGAATAGGAAAAAAAAATAACTCCTCGTCAAAATCATAACATTGTCACGATATGACAAAATATGATGGTCAAATGTTAAATTTTTGGTTTGAATTTGAACGGTAAGCTAGCACAGAAAGTAGTTAAAATAAGATCGACAATTTTTTTAAATAATAACAATATAATAAACAATGGCCAGTTCGGCTTTCAATAAAAAAAGAACACCCACGAAGCTACGTTTTCTTTGTTATACAATGTTTATGGAAATAATAATAAAAATGAGACACCAGCAGCAGTGTTCTGCGACTTTGCTAAAGCTTTTCACTGCGTAGATCACGGAATACTGCTGAAAAAATTCTATCTCTATGGCATCTGTGGAATTACTCACAAATGGTTCGTGAAATATCTCACAGGAAGAAGTCAGATTGTAGAATCCTCGTTATCCTCATCAGAAGGTGAAATGAAAAGAGGTGTACCACAAAGTTCAACACTGGAACCGATACTTTTCTTGTTATACATAAACGATTCAACATCTTTATTCCCCGATGATACCACGATATTATGGCGTAATAAAACCCTATGTAATCTCTACGAGTTTATGAGCTCAAATATGAAAAAAATAAAAAAACTGGTGCGACTCCAAACTGATATATTTTAATGTTTCCAAAACGAACTTCCGCTGCTGTATTGACAACATACCATTAACGACAAAGAGCGGAGACAAGATGATTGAAAACAAACCTAGTTATAAGGAACTTGGTTTGTCTGCCCCAAAATTGGCTTATTTCTCACTCATTGATTTCTGTTTAAAGTGTGGAGTTCCTTTCTAGGGATAATTTTGCAAAACTCAATGACAGACTTTTCGTTATACAGAAAAGACGTATAATATTCATGTGCAATGTCAAAAGTCAGGACTTCTGTGAATCCTTGTATAAACTACATAAAATTCAGACAGTCTTTGGAATTTTCATTTTAGAAACAGTATGTTTGAATAACAAACATACTGTTTCTAAAACAGAGAATCCGGATAAAACGGAGAATCCGGATAAACTGATGTTTATCCGGATTCTCCAATAAGGATGCCCTTCGTCAAGCTAATGATCTAAGATTACCCATACCAGCCTCTACTCTAGTCAAAGATTTTAGTATCATTAGTATGTATTGTATGTGTTAGGATAAAATTGTTCAATGTATGTCTATATTTATGCAGATATATCTTTACTCTAAGCTATTTCAATATGATTTGATCCGTTTTCTTTTTTCAGATAAGTGTTTGTCCCTCGAACGACCATCGGGAGGGGGCAAAGGCAAGAAAATGCGAAAACCGCGGACCATATACTCCAGTCTCCAGTTGCAGCAACTAAATCGGCGATTTCAGAGGACGCAGTACCTGGCACTGCCAGAAAGGGCTGAACTAGCGGCCAGTTTGGGCCTGACGCAGACTCAGGTCAGTTTTTAATTAAGTATATTAATTTGTGCACGGAGAACACGATGAATTTCCATAATTGACTTTTATTCTGCGAAGGGAACAGATAAAATCCATATCGGGGTGGATCTTGTTGAAGAACGTCTCTTGTCCGCTTCTCCACTTGTTGATTTTGTTTGTTATTACGGGTAATTCATGCTAGAGTCATAAACAAGAAATCAATCACGTGAAAATTAAGGGGAACAAGGTATTAATTTCGTATCCGACTTAATTATTTATTGACCAGAGACTGACTTTTTCCATCATCACTTCTTTCGAGTTTTTTTTGTTGAGTATCGCTCTGAAATGCAAAGAAACTATTGAATTTTCGTTAATCTAGCAATAGAAAAATGAACTATAGAGGTGAGGTAGCTGAGGAAAATGAACATACCATTGATACATTATGATTAGGAGTAACAAAAGTAACAAAGGGAAATTGGTGAATAGGAAATAATTTCAATATGAGTTTTCCAACACCTTATGAAGGTTAGGTTCGATATATAACCTATATTCATTTTGAAACGTAGACAAAATAAGTTTTTAATTAGTGTTCTTCCATCACATTAGGAAAAAAACAAGAGTTAGGATAAAATCAATCAAAATTCCATAAAAAAATACCCCATATTCAATACATGGTGATTGAAATCAGTATTCATTACATGGACTAGATAATTAATATGGAAATTATGGTAAAACAAGTGATCAAAATAATTCAAACGTTAAATTGGATATTTGATATTTATGTGAGTAATAAAACAAGACTAAACTTTCAATGAAGTGCTATAATTTTGGTACTAGAAGAGTGTTGATCTGTTTTAATTATCAGTTTGTGTAATAATTATTAATTGAATGAACATGGTACAAATATATTATATGGTATAAATCTTGGAGAATGTTTCTCTCAAGTTTTTTCGAAAGGCGAAATAAAAATGCAATAATTGAACATGGTCCCATCATATTTATTATCTGTGCAAATGAGGATTAATTTTTTGGTTAAAAAAGTCCATTCTCCTTGTAAATATGTATGGAACTGTGGGTGTATATTCTACGGTAATATATTTGTTATTTCAATACCGACTGAAAATGATCTAACGATTCCGATAAAGAAAATATGCTAAAACATTGAATGTGATATCGTTTACAAGTGAAATTTGTTATCTAGTCGAAAAAAGTAGAAAATAATTAATGTTTTACGACCCAAATTTAGGTGATACCTATTCAAGTGATAACAAAAGGTAGAGTTTTGAAATTTTTCGGTTTATAGCTTTTTCCGTATTCATTAAATTTTGCTAATTGAGAGTTGTAGATTATAAATATTCCGTGGCATAAACACTAGGCTTGCAAATGACTAAGCATCTGCTCATTTGTATAAATCGGGAGAATTACCTCAGTATTGCACACCTCAACCTACACAACCAGAAATTTGATTTATTTTCGAAGAGATGAAGTAATTCTTCATTTTTAAATTACAATTTCCTGTACATTCGAGTATACTTATTCCTTAGACTCACCCCTACGACGTTGTTATCTTCAAGACACTACGTTTATGGTATTGACTTCTTATAAAACACCCATGACCAATAATTACACGAAGATTTGAGATTATGTGACTCCCAATACGGTTATCATTTATTTATTGTTCCAAAGATTCTCTCAGTAGAAAGACATAAATTTTGTATGAATCTGAAAGCGAATATGGAATTTGACCCTATGAATTATTTTACCTGTAGTTACATATTTACTGCACGAATATGAGTTTGGAAAGTGCTATTCCATACTTGAATAAGGTATAAGCGCTTGCATTGTCTGAAATATTTGTTTATTGATTACTTGACGATTCCCATCCTAAATATCCATTCTTCATTTAGCTGTAAAGAGATATTTAGCTGTCACCTTCTTTGTTGTTCTTCGTGTAATGTTAACAATGTTTTATTGTTCTCGTGTGCTTACCAAGTATCTCGAATGTTCATTGTTTTCTTGTGTATTCTAGGGAGTTTGTTTCTCAAAAAGCATACTGTTTCTTCATTTCTCAAAAATGTTGCTGTAAATTTCAATTTACCCGAATGCCTTTGGGTTTAAGTAAAGATACATGCACTCTTCAAAGACTTATTGGTTCAATTTCAAAACGAATCAATTATAATCTATTGCTAATGATGTCTGGAATTTCAAAATACTGGTAACTTGTTTCTCCATTGAAAGATATTACCATAAATATCTAATTGACATTGGGCTGATTATAGGGTTTTGGAAACAATTCCTTACGTGGGATACCTTCTCAAGCTATGTGTTTAAACTTTCAACAGAATTTAAGATCTCTCATCCGAAAGACATTATAAATTGATGATCGGTAGTACTGCCACTACGCTTTTTATATACATATATAGTTATTAACACAAAAAACATTTCATAATAATATGAATCGAATGCATAATTGCTGCATGAAATTCAAAATTGCGCTTCCTTCATGCAGGCAGTTGTTCTTCAAGATGTCCATCACTAATTGTTTTTTATTAATAATAACGAGGAATTTTTTTCACCGGTTCTTGGCAGATGGATTGATGATCCTTGGATACAGTAGCTGGTTTTATGAAAGATTGGTGCTGTGTACATTATTTCTTTGTTTTTTTCTCATTACATTTCGTTGAACAATGAAAGAGGTGTGATATGAAGATGACTTGTAGCGGGACTCTTTTGATGAACAATCATGAATGTTTTTATTATAAAATTTCTGAGTTTCAGTATTTTTTTGACGGCTTATTTGATAAAGAATTATGAATATTAACTTAAATTTGACAATAGTTTTCCAGCAAGTCAACTGCCAAAGTCAAATTTAGGATAGCAAATGATGAGATTTTATTTTTGATGAAATACGTATTTGTGAATTATTTTGGAATAATCGAAGAGAAATTGTTTCAATATTGAAAAATATAAAACAGACAGCAAAGTAACCAGATATTCTGGCAGAATGAAATGATTGAAGACATTGAAAATGTAAATTTATTGTTCGTTGTCAGTTTTGGAAATAAAATAAATAACATAAAATGGAAAATGTAGAAATGATCAAGGAAGAGCAAAGAAAATATTTGAGGATAGTCAAAATATTGTTAAATGTCTTATGAAAAGACTGCCAAAAAACAGACAAGTTAAAAACCTGAGAGGAGAGGATACCTATAAAGAACATTGAAATTGCAACTTCAATTCCAAGATATTTCCCTCAAACAAAATTGACAAACTATATAATATATGCGTATACTGTTTTTTACAGTTATAACAGAGGACCTAAAGCAGAACACTGGGGAACCCCTACATAATTTATTATTTTCAGCGATTGTTTGCTTGAACATACTGCATCCTGTTTGTCAGATAACTTCTTAGCCAATCATCTACCACTTCTCTGAAACCGTACAGTTCTAGTTTTGTTAAAAGAATTTAATGGTTTATAAGATCGATTGCATGATGGAAAAGTACCTTCTTCAAGAGAACAATTTAACAGATACGTTAATGGTTGCGTCAACAGATTTGCTAATTTTTTTATTAGATTTGTTGATATATGATTATCTTCTTGTGAGTGAGAGCTTTTTAGATTTAGGAAAATGTTTAAGATTGCTGATTCAGTTGCTGGAATGAACAAGAATGTTTTAGGATATATATTTTTCAGCGATTTTTGAATGGGTTTATTTGTTCAGTTGATTAAAAGGCGTGGAATATTTTTGAAATGGTTATTAAATTGATAAGAAACTATTTCTGGGTCATTGGTCAAATCATCATTCATTTCAAGTGTTATATTTGTTGTTGAAGAAGGGTTTTCACTTGTAATTGGGTTAACTATTTTATTTTTAGACGTTTTTATTAAGTGAGTGTTGCAATTAAACTTGGCTTTGTTTGATAGTTAGTTGTAGATTTTCGTATAACGTTTGTAGTATTGGATATCTTTTTCATTGCCATTACCAGTTAATTGATGAAAATATTTTAATCTCTGTCCTGATATAAGCAAACCCGTTATCAACCACGGTTTTCTTGGATTATGGTTCCTGTTTATCTTTCGCTTCAGAGGAAAGGCAGAATCAAGGTAAAAAATTATGGTTCTGGAAAACCGGAGAATACTTCAATAATACCTTGAAATTTTTTTTGAACAATCTATCATTTTCTACAACTGGAAATGCCTCGTTCGTTGGAATCCACAGGAAATACCTACGAGCAACTCTTTCTATTTTTTCCTCACATTTATTCCCAAATGAACCGTGCTGAATGTAGATCATCCTCGTTTTTCCGTCTTCAGTCTCAACATGGCAGTGGTTTGAAGTTTTGTAAAAGTGAAACTCGAGAGTGGCAACCCAGTATGGAAGTTCAACTGCTGCCATCAGAATTCGTGGAAGAATTCTCACTTTGTACTCGCCTCGTACCGTATATGAAGCTATTTCTAGCGTTTATCGTTTTTCTTACTAAGAAAGACATTCGCTCTTGACTTCAAACCAAATATGTAAATGTAGATGGAGCTGACGTCGAAAAATTCCCGGTAACGCTTCAGTGATTGCCTTCAACTGAGATACGAGCGATTAAATCTGATTTGAATGCCGCAAGTTCAAGATACAGGGTGAGTTAATAAATCTTTTACGATATATGAGGGGGTCTGAAAAATTTCCGACCTAACAAAACCTAACAAAACCTAACAAAACCTAAGATTTTGTCAGATTTTTTAAATTTTCCAACATAGTCTCCTTTCAACTTTACACACTTCTCCCAGCGATGCTCTCATCTCTGTAACCTGTCCAAGTAGTACGCGGCGTTTTTCTATGCACGAAAGTGATTGCCTCTTCATTTAAGAAAAATCTCTGTCCTCCGATCGCAATTTCTAGACAAGGGAACAAAAAAATCACTTGGGGCTATATCTGGTGAGTAAGACGTATGGTCAATCAGTCCAATTCGCCATGGAAACCGCTGAAGTGTGAGACGGTGCGTTGGTGGTGGAGAGGTTGTGGAAT